AACTTTACACTTTGTCCCAATTATACCCTGAACTTTTTTTTGTCCCAAGAAAAACCTCAAACTTTGCTCTGAGTCCCAAATCTACCCTACCGTTATAACTCCGTCCAATTAACGTCGGAAAAAAAAAAAAAAAAAAAAAAAAAAAACGAACGGCATGGTGCGGCGTGGCCAAGCCTTCGCGGTGGCCGCCACGCCCGCGCCGGGAAGGAGCGGCGGCCCTCGCTGGGCCTTCTCGAAGGCGGCGACCTCGCCGGCCCGGGCGGAGTCGCCGCGAGGGCTGCGGCCCCGTCGGGGCGAGGCGCGACCTCGCCCGGATCGGGGGCTGGAGGCCCTCGCCGGCACTCGCCCGGGCGGCAGGTCGCCGGCTCGAGAAGGCCCGCAGGCCGCCGACCCATGGCGAGGCGTCGCTGGGCCTCCGGGAAGCCGCGACCTCGTCGGCGAGGGCTGCACCCCGATCTGGGGCGAGGTCGCGCCCTCCCCGGATCGGGGCTTCGGCCCTCGCCGGCGACTCGCCGAGGCCGGCGAGGGGGATTGCGCAGCCCGATCGGGGCGAGGGTCGCGCCCTCCCCCCATATCGGGGCTTGCAGTGCCCTCGCCGCGACTCGGGCCCGGGGCGGCGAGGTCGCCGCCTTCGGGAAGGCCCAGGCGAGGCCGCCGCTCCTTCCCCGGCGGCTGTGGCGGCGGCCAATTCCAAGTATAGCTTGGCCACGCTGTACTGCAGTGTTTTTTTTTTTTTTTTTTTTTTTTTTTTTTTCGACGTTAATTGGACGTAGATATAACTAGTATAGAGATTTGGGACTCGAAAAAGTTTGAGGTTTTTTCTTGAGACAAAAAAAGTTCAGGGTATAATTGGGACAAAGTGTAAAGTTTGGGGTTTTTTTTGGAATTAGGCCCTTTCTCAATAGAAATTCCTTTGTTTTACCTTTTTGTCCTACACCTTTAGTCAGTTTTACCTTCCTCTTTGATTTACATCTAAAAAAATAGGTTTGTTAGGGTTTTAATGAAAAACACAAAGGTGACACAAGAAATGACATTGATTACATGATAAAAAAATGTTCAGTTTTATCTACAACAAAGCCTGAAAAATTTCATGGAACGCCCGTGTCGTATGCTAAGATATATTATAAAAACAAATGCAACAAAATGGACGAAATAGTAATTGTAAGTAGAAAACCAAAATAATTATTATTTCACCGATTAATTGAAATATTAGATATTAATTATATTTATATAATTCCATGCTTGGCTAAGTAATAATTAGTTAATTACTTAAATCACAAACATGGTAAAAACTATAGCCCCAGTAGGCAAGCCTGAGCCCGCCTGAACCTCCATGCACGCCCACGGGGCCACACTTTTCCTTTCTACTTTTAAAAAAAATTTCAACTAAAAAAATAACAAATAAATGAAAATTAAACTTTTAGGGCTTTGTATTATTTTATATTGCTACATTACCTACGAGCTTTTATATAATTTTTCTCTCCTATAATAGAAACTTAGGCTTCTTTTATTTATTGGTATTAGTGAAACTCGGGCTTAGAATTTTTTTTTTCCTAGGCTTGCTCAGCGGGTCTAAAACTGCTGGCCGTAATCGCGAACTTATGGGCGGGCCGCCCTCCCTCTGATTAGGTCTGACAACCTTAATAACTATTAGACTATATTTGTTTTGCGTAACACTTTTTTCTCATTTTTTGACGTTTGATTCGTCAGGAAAAATGAGTCAATGAAAAATTTTATTCTAGTCTACGAAAACCTATACTTAAATTCAAAAACAAAGATTTGTTCTTTGAAAAAATTAGAAAACATTTTCCAAAATACGGTTAGGTATCGACGTTTAGATCCGAAATTTTACGCTTGGATACAGAAATCTCAGAGCTAGTTCTCGGATCCCTCGCGTTCAGGACCAGGTATCCAACACCTGGGCCTAGGTCCATCGAGGCCTAGCCTGGGACCCTAGTGCCTGGGTCCATCGAGATTGTGCCTAAAGCCCTGATATGCCCGTGCTCGATGCCTCGGCACCTGAACCTAGGCCCATAAATGTCGTGCTTGAGTCTAGGATGCTCGAGCTTTGGTCCCCGGCACTCAAGCTTGGGTTTACAAAGGCCGTGCACGGATTCTCGGCACTCAAGTTCAGGTGCTTAGTCAATGAAACATTCGTTTTCATAAAAATATATATTTTTAAAAAATTGATTTTTTAACTATTTCTTTTTCTTGATCAAAATTTTAAAAAAATAAAGTCAAAACCCTCATAGCCTTGCATCCTTTTCAATTACCACAAGAGCCAAATGTGTTATAAGCCTGCAAAATTAATATAAAGGCATGGATGACTCAAGGCTGGAAAACTATTGCTTAGGCCCAATTTCAAGGACTAAATTTAATCACGGTTTTCCGAATTTCTCGACACTCATGTAAGACCTACTTCAGATCAAAATTTTGTGGCTAAATTGACTTTTACTTTTTACTTAATCAAAATTTGTGGCTCATGGGTTTTGACTTTATTTTGAAACACTCGAAATTTTCGCAACATATAAATGTCACCACACATATTAACATATAATTGCTTTCACAATACTTTGAAATTGAAATTACTCTATTAAATTTTGACGAGAGCAACAAAAAAAAAAGAGTACTTCGTGTTTTCATTTTCCGACGTTTGATTCGCTTGGAAAAATGAGCTAATGAAAAATGTTATTCTAGTCTACAAAAATCTATACTTAAATTTAGGAGAAAGATTTCCTCTTTGAAAAAATTGAAAAACATTTTCCAAATATACTGTTAGGCATCAACGCTTAGACTCGAAAGTTTACGCTTGGACACTGAAACCCCAACGCTGATTCCCAGATCGCTCTCGTTCAGGACTAGGTATCTAGCACTTGGGCCCAGGTTTATCGAGGCCTAGCCTAGGACCCCGGTGTCCTAGTGCTCATGCCTAGGACCATCGAGGTTCGGCCTAAAGCCTTGATATGCTCGCGCTCGATGCCCCGACACTAGAACCCAAGTCCATAAATGTCATGCGTGGGTCCGTGATGCTCGAGCTCTGGTCCCTGGCACTCAAGTCCGGGTTTACAAAGGTCGTGCATGGGTTCTCGGAGCTCAGGTTTGGGTCTTTAGTCAATGAAACATTCGTTCTCATAAAAATATATTTTAAAATTTTGATTTTTTAATTATTTCTTTTTCTTAATCAAAAATTTTAAAAAATAAAGTCAAAACCCTCGAGCCTTGTATCCTTTTCAATTTACCACAAGAGCCAAATGTGTTATAAGCCTTTAAATATTAATACAAAGGCATAGATGACTCAAGGTTGGAAAACTATTGCTTAGGTCCAATTTCAAGGACTAAATTTAATCAAGATTTTCCGAATTTCTCGACACTCATGTAATACCTACTTTAGATCAAAATTTGTGGCTAAATTGACTTTTACTTTTTACTTAATCAAAATTTGGGGCTCAAGGGTTACGACTTTATTTCGAGACACTCGAAATTTTCGCAAGGCATAAATGTTGACACACATATTAGCATATAATTGCTTTTACAATACTTTGAAATTCAAATACCATATTAAATTTTGACGAGAGTAAAGAAAAGGGTCAATATCACGAAAAATTTCAAACTGATACACCTGTGATAAATTTATCCCAAACTAATTTTTCGACCACAAAAAAACCCAAATCGATACTCTTGTGACAAATTTACCCTCCGTTAAATTGAATTAATATTACGAAAAATAAAAAATTAGTAAATCTGTGACAAACGGAGGGATAAAACCGTAAACTGATACATCTGTCAATTGTCACATGTCATCTAACTCAGCAATTTGACGATAAAATTTAACGAAAAATAACTGAGAGTAAATTTATCACAGATATATCAATTTAGGGTTTTTCGTGATATTAACTTTAAAAAAAAAAAAAAGAGTACTCCGTGTTTTGATTACCAGCAAACAAATGGAACTACCTGGTCCACGTGTCTCCGGATTGTCCCCCCCTCGGCGTCATCACGCATCATCGGACGGCAACCGTCGACGAAGAAAATATGAGGTGCATTTCACACACCACGTAGGATTTACAATAAACCATACATTGATCGACACGTGTCCATATCGGGCCCACCCATCAGAAAATTGTCTCCCCCTCCCCTCTCTCGCACGCGCTCTACTCTCCATCTCCTCTGCAACCCCACGCCCAACCCCCTCTCTCTAAAACCTTCGCTCATGCCTGACTCTCTCTCTCTCCCTCTCTAAAACCTTCGCTCATGCCCGACTCACGATTAGCTCTGCTCTCTAGTCCAACGAACCACGCCACCGCCTCCGCCTCCGCCTCCGATCCATCTCCGGCGACAACTTTCGAGGTATTAAACCTTCGGGGACTCCGGAATCATGGGACTTGTCGTGCACGACATAGAACCCGTCGTCCTCGCTGACGTCACGAGAGTACCAATCGTCGACGCCGAAAGCCGGGGTCGAGCTCGTCTTCGGCTTGAAGACCAACTGCAGTAGCTTCTGGACCGACCGTGAGATTCGGGAGTGATTCTTCGCCGTCGTCGAGGTCGCCGGTTGTGGCTGCGGTTGCAGAGGAGAAGGGGGAAGGCGCGGCGGTCAGGGTGGTGAGCATGGATACGATGCAGGCGGAGATGGCGGAGTCGAGCTTGAAGAACAGTGTCGAGCGAAGGTTAGAGTGGGGGGGTGGGGGGTTGGGCTTGGGGTTGCAGAGATGGAGAGCAGAGCGCGTGAGAGAGAGGGGAGGGGGAGACAATTTACTGACGGGTGGGCCCGATATGGACACGTGTCGATCAATGTATGGTTTATTGTAAATCCTACGTGGTGTATGGCTCTCGTGCTTCACGTCAACTTTTGCTTGTTTTTTTTTTCTTTTATAATAATGACGTGTGGACAGTGGAGCAAAGAAGCACCAGGCACAAGATTTGCCCGCCCAAACCGAAAACGCTCCACCCCCCTCCCCCAAAAAAACCCTAAAAGTTTTCAAAAATCGAACCTCCCCATTTCAAAAAAAACACACCCAAAACCCCCCCCCTCTCTCTCTCTTCTCTCTCTCTCTAGAACCAGAACCGGCACTGCTCAGCGACAATCCGTGAAGAAGAAGATCATGGCCGACTCCGAATCCACTCCTTCTCTCCCCTCTCCTGCTCCCCTCTCATCCGTACTCCCTCTCTCTCTCTCTCTCTCTCTCTCTCTCTCTCTCTCTCTCTCTCTCTCTCTCTGTGTCTTGTAGAGACATTCTTGATTCGCATGGCGAGGTTGTATGTTTGATGGGTGTTTCTTGCTTTGTTCGCAGAGGAAGGAGAACGTCACTCCCGTGAGCTCCAAGATCGCGGTACTCGTTTTAATCTCATCTTCCTTTTTTTCTGGGTTCGGTTCGGTTCGGTCCGTAGCTTCTTGTAGTCGTGCTTTGATGGGACCTACCGTGAGATGGTTGATTGGATGGAGTAAAGGAAACTTCTTTGTGCCCAATTGAGTTCGGATCCCGGAATTTTGCTCGACTGGGTTTTTTTTGCGGCGCGCTTTACTTGTCGCTCTTGTTGCTGTGTTTGCAGGAGTTGAACGAGTCGAGGTCGGAGCTTCTTACTCGAATCCAAAGCCTAAAGCAGGTGAAAAGTTGGATCCTTTCTTTCCCGTTGCTATGGCAGTTTCTAATTTGCTTGTGTTGTGTGCCTATTGTGTTATCCATGGGAGCTGTTGGGCGGAGTCTTGAAAGAGGGTAGTGTCCGATTATTATAATTCTGGTCTGCTTGTGCAGGATTTGCAAGGTTGGAGGTCAAAGTTGGACACCCAAGTCAAGATCTACAAAGATGTAAGCCGTCTCTTGCTGTGGTTGGCATTGAACTGTGTATTTCTAATTGTTGTGCAGATTAGTATGACAAAGCATGGCGTGGCCTGCGCTTCTGATGGGGCCCGAGTAATCCATATTGGGATCCAGTTTTCGAGCACAAAAAGATTTCATTCATGTCGTAATCATCACCTTTCTCACTCTGACTGGATTTGTCAAGAACGAAAATGTTCTATATTTTTCCTAGTATGGGTTACAAGACTGAACTTATTATCCCTGTACATTAGCCTCATATTAATGTTCCACATGACTTGTGCCGCTTTCATCCTTGGAATTGGTGGATTTAGTTTTTTATGGATAATTGAGTGCCTAAACCCACATCACAGGAACCTTCTGAGCTAGTCATATGATCATGTCATGTTTTTCTTTACTGGTTTTGCGTGCCCATGTCATCAGAATCCTGAAGTTGAATAAGCAGTCATATTACAAACTTTATCCTCTTATCTGTTCACAAACTATGTTTTGCAATAGCAAATCAAATCTTGTTTGGACTATGTGGTGGCGTGCAAACCTTCTGGACCCTTTGTTGTTGTCTTCATCGCTTTCTACTATATATCTAAAGCAGTAAGTGAAGGTAGCGGGTATGTTGTTAAGCATTGTTATAGCTGGTCTTTCAGTTGATGTGATGCCCAAGTGGCATGTAGTATTTTAGCTTGAAACTTTGAGGGATACCGATTCATAGAAATTTTGAAGGGCATAACTAGGGATGAGGCATCTTATTTGAGAAAAGAGCGTATCTTTCTGCTGGTGGAATCCAATTGCCTTGTGTCCCGCAGCAAATACTTATCTGAAGAATGCATTGGCAGATAAATATGGTCATGGGATTTAACCATTATGCCAAAGAATTATGGCCTGAAATTACTCACTGCTTTGTGGCGGAGGGACTTTGATCTACTACTTTATTGGAAAAAAGCTCTCAAGGTCTATGTTATGCTATGAAAGGAATTGTTTTACGTTACACTACGAATGGGATTTCTTTGCTTAGTTGCTAAATGTTTTATGCACCAAATATGAACGGTAATGAAAAACCATCTTCATGAATTTGTTTCGATACAGGAACTTTCGGAACTTAAGAAATCACTTAACGTTGAGGTGGAACAACTCAGATCAGTAAGTGATGATTTAGCTATTTTATCTTCTTTTTTTTTAATGTAATCTTTCTTGTTCTGACTGTTTCTTCTGCAATGTACCCAGGAATTCCAGGAACTGCGGACCACTCTTCAGCAGCAACAGGAGGATGTCACCACTAGCTTAAGGAATCTCGGGGTACTATCCTTGGCATGAGATTTTCTGAACCTAATGGGACCTTTTGCATCTTGACCGTTTCATGATTTCCTCTGCAATTATATTTGCATGGTGCAGATGCACGCCTATTCCCATGTAAATTGATCCACTGATTGATATAGCTCCGAATCTGCAGTTGCAGGATGTTTCAGGAGATACCAAGGATGGTGTGATCAAAAGTCCAATTGTCAAAAAAATAGAGGAGGATGCTGCGGATGCTGAGCATATTTCACCAGTAGTCATAAAAAAGGAAGAACCTGAATACTGAGGAGTCTTCATTTTGAGGTCATCTCTTGTGAAGAAGAGAATATTACTTTCTTTGTATGACAAATAATCAGTCACGTCCACTGTTGAGTCCAAAAATGTTGTAGTTTACAATCATCATCTGGCGTAAAGCTGAAGTTGAATCAATTAATGTAAGATTCGCTCTCTTTATTCGTCAATCGAATTGATCTCGTTTATCTTGTGAATTGTTCTATACAATTGATTTTGTAAGAGTCTCTTTCCGACCAAGTGTTCAAATTGATGTGGATTGTTTCCGGAAGATGTTCTAGGATGGTTCTACAAGCAAGCATAAACTAATGATTCATTTTGGAGGACTTGAAAATTCACAGTGCGCACTTGAACAATAGTTCTTGGCATCGTTATATATCAACTCTGCTGCGAGCTGCGACCTGCATATAGTTGATATTTGGCGCATTTTGTTCCACGCCTACCTGGAGTTACTGAAACTACACGTTTGAAATATAATCACCTTGTACACAAGGATTTGTTTAAATCAGAACTGGAGATTTGAGCATTGACATAGAGAACAAAAAGGATCTCACAAGGAAAATCTACAAGTCTTAGAAGCATTGGGCAACGAGATTTCGCATACCTATAGAAAGATCGGACTTACGCAAACACAGGACATTTACCAAACAATTATGCAGGAAAAGGAGAATACACCACTTCATTTGCAGAAATAGGACTGGAGCTAATTACATGGGGCTTCTGATAAACCATTAATCCAATGGACCGTCTGATGTTCCATATGTACACTTGTGAATACACCACTTCATTTCTCTGTTTTTTCTTTCCCTAACAGAAGAGAAGCAGGGACTATCTGCTGTGGTATTACACAACTAGGAAAATAACGGTATATAGAATCTTATGCACATGTCGATGCTTTGGAAGTGCGCTGATTTGTTCCAAGGATTATCACGATAACAGTTACGTCGTCGTGATACTTCCTCCTCCTCCCTGGAGGAATTCTCATCAATTCCTCCAAACTGAAACCTGCAACGTTAAATTAAATGTATCAAAAGATGCCGATCAAATAATTGTAATTTAGTCATCAAATGGAGAATGGCTGCATAGATTAGTCAGCCTTGCTATTTGTTTCAAGAAGCTTTGACACCATCCAAAAGATGGGTAACTTTGTTTATATATGTCAGCAAGTACAATCCATTCACTCCTCATCCAATATTTCTGTTGCCAATTCTTCCTTTACCCTCTTATATGCTAGCAAAACAATAACATTTCTCTCTCTCAGTGGCACTGAGCAAGTCCTTTAGCTCCCTAGATTTAATTTGGCAGAGGATGCATTGGTTTGGAATAACAGTTCTGCAATGTACAAGCTAAAGCTGTAGCAACAGGAATATAGAGGTGTATTACTTAGGAATACAAAACCTAGGTCTGTGATAACAAACCTTCACTGTTCTTTCATAATAAATAGTTATTAAACGAGGCAAGTCCAAATGCAATGCATGACACAAGTAAAAGTTCCGCTAGCAGTCTATATAAGAGCAGGTGACTTAGCAAAAGAAAGATATAATACGGAGAGAAGAAAAGGATTACTAATAGAATATGATGGTGCATTAGTAAGCCAGGTTCTGTGCCAAAAAAGGGTCAATCATAAACACACATATGGATATACTAGTGCTTTCACTGAAAAGAAGAAATACTGCGGCCCGCCTTTCTATTAATACAGATGGAAGGAATATTATAAAGAATCACTACTTTTAGCTAACGCAACTTAACCTACAATGGACAACAACCACATGAACATGGGTAAGGACAGGTGACTCAATTGACTATCCCTGTCACCATCAGAAAAATTGACTGGAACAAATCTCAAATTACGCAAAGGGAGAATCGGTTCACATTGAATTCAAATTAATACACGATACCAACTCTCGCAACTAATAGTCCACACTTTCATGTGCCGTGGATCATATTCATATTCATGGAGAAAAACTTTATGAGGACAGAGTTAGCTTATTATTCAGATTAACACAAAAAATGATTAAAAAGAATCAAGCAAGAACAAGTAGCACGAAGTTTACCTGCACAATTGGCTGCTCTCAAAATGAGCTGCTCCACTATATATTTCGCTGGATCAGCATAAGGGTTGCATTGGATACAGGAATTCACAATTTGTACCACCTCATCATTGCTGAAGAAATCAAACAGACCATCACTTGCAACTATGACAAAGTGATCGTCTTTTGAAATTCTGTGCACATTCACTGATGGTGTGGTAGAAACGTATGGAGGGCTTATAAGATCACGGACACGAAGGATACCCATAAGTGCATCATTTAGAATCTTCTGCAGATGTAAGAGGATCATTAGCATCACCACATACCATATACACATGAGTAGTATGGGTGTAGACTAGTCATTGAACTCTACCACTATGATGATACTAAATTGATATAGTTCAAGCACCATGGAAAATCTTTTATGTACTCAACAATGTCCACATAAAAGTTTCTTGGATCAGCACAACTTTAGTTATAGTCAAATGGCTGCCAAGATTGTTTTTAATATAAAGATGCTGACAGCAAAATTATTTGTCATTCAGGAGAAGATGTTTCCTTCCTGCAAATCACAAGGACATGACCTGTAGTAAGATCAACAGAGTGGTTGCTCATGATCATCTTTCCATATATGAGACATGAAAAGATGGTCCTGAAAGCAATATCTAGGAAAAGCACATGTTTATCAAACTCTGCCACCCTGACTAGGAAATGGTCATGTTACAGGTGAGGATCCATGTATTTTCAACCAAGCGTAATATCATTCACTTTCATGTGTATGTGCTCTGCTCGCATGATGCAATTTGACTAAACATAGTGATTGAGAATGAGAAACCACCTTCTTCAAGTATCCAACTCCAATGGCACGTGTGACTTTCAACTTGCCTTTGATCTTCCCCATTGAAATGATCATGGAGTCATCAGGATGATCACACAGTAGTCGAGCTCTTTCGACTTCATTGTCAACAGTGTGGCTCTCAGTGAGCTGGATGGCTTTCAAATCCTTGCTGCCATTATTGTCATGCGGTTCATATGTTGCCAAAACAGCTCTACTATCCCCAAGACTGAGTGTGTACAAGTGATCGCCATGCAGAAGCACAACCAAAACACAAGAACCAACAGAAACTAAATCAGGACGATCTTCCATTTCCTGCTCAACCATGTATAAGAAATCATTTTCTGCCTGATTTAAAGCATGTTGAAGACAATCTACAACACCTTTCTGAAATGATTCTAATGGAATATTCATGCGAAAATTTTGAGCATTCTTCGTGAAGTTCCTGGGATTGGAATTCTCAAAATTGCAGTTCTTTGGTAGCAAATTCTTCCCATGAGAAGTATAACTATTATCCTCTAGAATGTATTGGAGAGACCCATATGCATCTGAACTATCAAAAGCTTTCGGGTACTCCTGCTTTGCCTCCCAATCTAAAGAAGCATTGAAGTAACTTGTGAAGGTGTCATATAATGTCCCAGCAAGAAAATCAGCTGCATCTCTTCCATTGAATCCATCATAAATTCCGCAGTATAGCCATCCATTCTCTTCAGAGCAAACAGCCTGCACCCTGTCCTCCCCAGCTGCTCCACCAGCTACTTGAACTTCCGTTGCATTCAGAAAAGTGTCACCTTTTGAAGGGGCACTCATTGCCTTTAAAAACGAATCACTTTCATAAGAGTCGCTTTGACAGGATGGACTACAGCTTAAGTTAGATGTACTGCTCTGAAAAGATGATGATAACATGTCCAACTTTGATAGGGATGGCGATGAGGAAATCTTGCGAAATGAATTTGGAGAATCCCAAGTAGGAAGTATTTCCTCCCCTATTACCCCATTGCAGATATTTGTATTTGCCAAGGTGGCATTGGCACTTACAGCAGCACCAGATAAGCAGGAGAATGAGAAACTACTGGGTCTTTGCATTTTAATTCCACGAAATATATCATACCCATTAGAAACTTCATAGTGATCAAACTTGTTTCCATTGCATTGATAGCCAAAACTCACTTTAAGTTCTGTATCATGTTTTATTGCAGTTGCCCCTTCCATGATCGATTCCTGTAAGAGTGTAAAGTTGCATGTATAAACACTAAATGTGGCAACAGTAAAAAGGATGACAAAGAGACAAAAGGACCATCTCCAGGAATCTAATATCATATATGTGCAATAATAAATCACCTCTTAATTTATTCCTTTTCAATAGAACACCCTGCATGACAGATATAATCCTGATGATAGAAAGAGCGATGGCTCGTGGGATTAAATTTCTAAAGTTTTCTTTTCCTTAAGACATTTCAACATAAAACATTCTCTAAAAAATATACTGCTACAAACTTCCAACAGGTAAATTTGTGATTATAATGATTCTTCATGAATCTGAAGAAAGTAGAGCGTATCTCCACTTTCCTTCACATTACACATCTCAACCAAGTCTTTGCCATGGCAATCTAAGTAAAGAGTGCAAGGCGCACAACAGTTTAGTTGAGGTATGTTCTCCTCTTAGTCATTGAATTTCGAACATTAAACTTCAAACATCTACATCCTAAAAGATTTGATCTAAGTCCCATGACCAAAGAAATCTTGAAAACTAGAATTTCCATGAAAAGAAAGGAAAATAACATAGAGTATCGTCGTTGGCTATCAACATCAAGCTGTTTAACAAATCATACAAGTATACCAATGAATTAGTACAGAGGGTAGCACATATAATCTCATATCAGTAAAAACGACACGGGAGGTGACTTAAGTTCAAACTGGCCATTTTCAAATTCCAGTTTTTATCTCTGAACTTTGGTTTACTTTCAATTGGGTCACGCTGGCAACCAGAGGACCAAAATCACGCCAGAAGTTTGTAGTCGATAAAAAATCCACAGCAGCATCAGGTCACTCTATATATTTCATTGCATGAGTATCAAATTTACATTCATGTACCGAATAAGCCACTAATTCAGAACTACTTCAGATCAACATTAAGGGGTGCGTTTGTTTCGCCTAAAATGAATGATTTGCAAACCATTTTCCAAAAAAAAACAATCCCTTCTATCGCTTACAGAAATGAATGAACGAAAAATATCTTTTATTGTCCACGAATATGTTTAGACATAAATTATTATCGTTAGTAAAACCATTTGTCATTAACTGATCATTTCAAGCGATATAACCCATCATT